TTATGCAAATTTTATGGTTATACAATTCAATTAATTTGCTTTTGAGAAGATTTAAGATGAACAAGCACAAACACACAGTAAGTTTCAAGAAAAAAAATTATGTTCGATTCTTATTTAGCTCTCTCTTTTTTTGTTTTTGTTTTTTCTTAATTACTTTTTCAATGTCACAGGAAATGACAACTTATATACATAGGGGGCATTTGGTTGGGGGTAATGTGGGATTATTGGAGTTATGTCATCTTATATTACTTGATTACCACGTTTGGTTGTCAAGTAATATAAGGCTTCGTTTGATTCACTTTTTTGTATTTTTTAGAAAAGATTTTTGGAAAAAGTTAAATTGAGCGGGTATTACGATGTAGGATTTAGAAATTAATAAAAATACCCCTTATGTTTGTTTATTTACTAAACACCCCTATAATAAAACTTTGAAAGTTAACAAAAACAGCCCCAACCCACCCATTGAATAATCACAGCCGGCCACCACCACCAGAGTTGCCGTATCGGCGCATGACCAGCTAGATCTTGTCGGTCGTGCTCTGATATCTGGCCGACAAAGGCCAGATCTACGGCTAGATCTGGCCATTGACAATCAGATCTGGCTGTATTTGCTCGTCAACGACGGCCAAAGATACGACCGTCGTTGATGGTCAATGACGACCATATGTTGGCCGTCATTGACGTCTGGTTACGGCCAAAGACGGCCTTTTCCGGCCAGATCCACCGTGGATATGGCCGAAACAGGCTAGATCGGCGCACTACCGACCAAATTCAGCCGGTAGTGCGCTATTATATCAGATTCCAACCAACTTCCGGCAGTGGTGGCCGGAATCTGGTATAATGTGGGTTTAGGGGTGTTTTTGAATTTCAAAAAAAAAATATTTAGGGGTATTTAATTAAATTAACAAATTTAGGGGGTTTAAAAAAAGTTGAATAATATTGGATAATATTGTGAGTTTTTGCAATTTTACTGTTTAACTTTTTTGGGAATACTAATAATAGTATTCCCAAAAACGAAACAAACGGAGCCTAAGATTCTAGTAATCTTCAATTATCAATAGTAGTTACTGTTAGTAATATTTGAGGTAATCAAATTACCTCTATTTTCTTAAGTATTCTAAGATTACCAAGGTAATCTTTTTTTTTTACAACTCTATCCCTTATTAATAAAATTTTAGGACAATAATGCCCTTATTTTTAAATTTATTTACATGGATATAGTTTTTACTATTTCACCCAAATTAATTAACTTTTTTGACAAAATTACCCTTGAATTCAAAATAAATTGCAGCCTGCCCAAGCCACCACCCCCACCCACCTGCCGTCGCCTATCGCCGGCAACCACCGATACGGTATGCCGATATGGCCATTTCCGGCCAGATATCTAGGCGAAAATGGCCAGATCGTTCCAGCGGCCAGATCTAATCTGGTCGTCAAAGGCCAAATCCGTCGATCTGGCCGTCAAGGTATGGTCGTCGATGGCCAGATCTGTCACATCTGGCTAGATCCCTGGCCGAAAATGGTCATACGATGCACGGAGGCCATTTCCTGCCTTCCATGTGCCGTTAGGTTACCGGCTTTCGGGGGCCTACGATGGTTGCTGGTGGTCGGCAATGGCTTATGGCTAGATTGGTGGGGGTGCTTTATTGATTTTTCAAACTTTTATTATGAGGTTGTTTTTGCTAAGTTTTTAAATACAGGGAGGTTATATAATCCAAGTAATAATAAATGTTAAAAAATAATATAATAATAATATTTAATTAAAGGACAATTCAGTAATTTAAATAACATACCCGTCAATTTATTCCTCTCAACCAAACATATTAATATAACATACCCACCAATTAACCAAACACATTTTTCTAAAGATTCTTAGTAATCTTCAAAGTAGTCTAACTTTTCGGTAATCCAGCATTCCCAGTAATCTAACATTTCCTGAATCAAACGCCCCTATAGAGATTTGTAATCCCTATCATCTTACATCTCGACCATTCAGAGTAGCTCACAACAAACACAAAGTCTGATACTCTTTACCGTTGGATCTATAGAGATTTGTAATCCTTGTCATCTTACATCTCAGCCATTCACATTAGCTCACAAAAAACACAAAGTCTAATACTCTTTAACGTTGGATCTATCAGCTACATGCTTTTACAGTTGAATTCAGTCAGCTAAAGTATGAAGACGAAGCTGTTCAACACTTCTTCTGTTTTGTTTTACTTTTTCTGAAATCAAAAACGTCATCGCTTCAACTCTTTAGTAGTAAACCTCAATACGGCACCGCTTCAGCTCTTGTTTGTAACAAACATCAATACGGCTGCGTTTCTTCTTAGATGTATTCAGATTTTGTGTTGCCGCTTGCTTCCAACATTCACAGCTTTGCATATTAATACTGTGAGGCAGGTTTTGATAAATATATTAATGGTGATTGGGTTATTTTGATATATGCATCTAGTTTTATATAAAACTGATTTTTCATACAATCAAATATTCTTTTTATCAAAAGTATAAATAATTTAAATAAGTATTAAACCAAACACATAAAAAATTAAAAAAAAAATTAAGAAGGTAATTTTGTAGTATTTTATATTATTTAATTTGTATCATATCTTCTACAATTTTAACCGTATTTTATATGATTTAATTTGGTTTTTTCTATTTTCTTGCATTTTCTACATAGTTAACAATAAATAGATACTGTCATTCTCAAATATTAATATTATTAACGTTATCATCATCATCATCATCATTATTTAAAACATATATACAAGTCCATATATACAAATATGTAATATTATCAATTTTTATAATATCTCATATTAATCTCACACCTAAAATTATCTTTATTTCATAAAATATTATTTTTAAATAATCATAGAAAAGACAAAAACCTCAAAGTTTCCCTTAAATAAAATTTCATTTTACAAAAGCCCACACTCTAAGCTTGCTAAAGAGTTTTTTTAAGTTAGCTATTTGTTGAAAGTTCAAATTTACTATTGACCTTAGCGGTGTGATTAACACTATATTTGACTATAACTATTTAATTCATTAGTTATAAAAATATAATTATTCACGGCATAAATTAGAATATCTATAACTGCATACTATAAGGATTGTAACAAATTGATTTTCACATTTTTTATTTGCTACAAATTCAAATAATTTATAGCTAATACACACATACTAACTATATACTTAAACTAGTAGCTAATAAAGATACTATAATATTGTTACTACCATGAAAATAAAATTTGTATAACTAAATACCTTAATTAGCTATAAATTTCAATATTTTATAGCTAATGCACAAATAATAGCTATATAGTTAAACTTGTAATTAATAATGATATTATATGCCATATAAATAAAATGTTTATAACTAAATACATTAATTAGCTAGAATGTTTTACCATAGTTAATACATTGTAGCTAAATGACTAGTTATTGCCACGATTTTAATAAATTAAAAGAAAGATATAAATATTAGCTTCGAGGGAGGAAGTCTTATCACAAAAATTATTTCAATTAGTTATGATTATGTATTTGTTACAGTTTTTCTTTCTATAACTAATTTTCAGCTATATGTCTATAATGTTGTTCAATGGGCAACAAGAATAGTTTTCATATTAAACCAGCCTCAGTCTCCCCATATTAGGATTAACTTTTTTTTTCTTGCTTAACAAACATAAATCCAATCAAAAAGTGAAAACTTTCAATGATAAATGTATCAGATTTTTTTAATTTATCCAGTTAACTCCTCCATCTCCACCCTTTCCCGGTCATCACCTTTACAAATCATGCAATAAATATTGCCTTTTCTGTTGCAAAAACAAATGTAAAGCAATTTCCTGTCATTATCTTTTGGTAGATTTAGAAATGGATGAGTTGCTTTTTCGGTCAACCCATCTCAACTTTTTTTTTTTTTTTTTTTTTAACTGCGGGTGTTAAACTAATTTGTAAACATCTCAATTAATTTCTTGGGACCTAAAGTAAATAGTTAGGTAAATCCCTTCAGTGGCCACCTATTAGTGTCTAAACGGCCTCGAACTCAATAACTTATATTGGATCATTTTACTCTTTTACCATCATACCACTCAATGGTGGTTCCATCTCAACTATTTCTGACCTATTTTTCATTTTTTTAGTTTTTCACCAGCATTGATGTCTTCGGTTTTACACCCAAAAAAAAAAAAACTAGTCAAAAACATTTGCCACCGTCAGTTTTGGTTTAATTTAGTTGAATCCTATGGTTTTATTTTAGTTTAATCCTTATATTTATGTTTTATTTTTGTTTTGTCAGTTTATATTCAATTTTAAATAAATTTAACACACGTCAATTTGATAATGGTTCGTGGTACCACATCATATTCTCTTTATTCAATTTAAAATTACAACAATTCTAGAGTAATTTAATAAACCCATATAGAGGTTTAAATAATCTAAAATTTTAATTTTTCAAAAATTTTCTAATCAAAACGTTCTTGTTTTAGTTTTATTTGGATCAGCTTAAATATCACTAAATGCACTCATAAAGTTGGAATAATATTTTAAGGATAAGAATCTAATACTAATTAGATATGTTCTTTGTATGATTAATATAAAAAGAGTAATACTATACTTACAATTAAATTACACAAATTTTCTCTTACAATATTGATGTGATAATTTGTAATTGGATGGCTCACAAATGAGCTCTATTGCTCGCTATGGATGCTATCTATCAAATTGTGAGTTGACCAATTACAAACTATCGTATTGGAGTTATAAGAGAGTTTATGAGATTGGATTTAACCAAACTTCATCCATATCAAAATGGTCTGAGTAGAGAATTGTTGATTGGTGTGGCCCAAAACATGAGATATATCATATGTGGCAGAATTAATAGTGGCATAATTTAGCAAGATGGTAATTTAATGAATGAAAGGTGTAGAGTTGGAAGAATCCATAGGTTCGTGACCACATCTCTACTGTACAGGGTTCCACCACTTACTTTCCTTCCATTTCCATAATCCATATTCGTTTTGCTTTCATTTTATTCTTTCTTCATTTCGCCACCACCACATTTCTTCTCACTCTCATACCTCTATATACATTTTGTTCCTCATTTCTGAAAATCCTCTTTCTCTCTTTCTCTTTTAATGGCTGAATCTGATCACCAACTCTCTATTTTCCTCATAACCGCCATGGATCATATTTGGTTTCACCATATCATTCTCCTCTCAGAACCCACTTCACTTCTTGTCCCGAAAACACACTCACCAACACCAAACCCTTCTTTATCATCAGCGCCTTTAGATATTCAAGACCAAGAAAAATCCTCAGCTTCATCTCCGGTTTCGCCACTGGTAAAAACAAAATTTACAACGTAAACTCCTACATGGCTCTCTGAATTTTGTTTACTGATTTCTTTTTTCATCTTTTTACAAGGTCGAAGACTGTAACGATGAAGCTAAAGAAAAGGAAGAGGAACTGAAAGAAAGACCAACGCGATTGAATATCATTGCAGGCAGAGCCCGCTCACACTCTTCTTCACCATTAACTAAAAAACGTCCGAGAAATTTAAGACGCTCGGGCTCAATGATTGTAGGGCAGAAGTGGATGAGCTGTAGGAGCTTGTGGGATCTGGAACTTGAAGAAGTGAAAGGGTTTATGGATCTTGGATTCGTATTCAAGAAAGAACATTTAAACCCTCAAATGATTAGCGTTATCCCTGGTTTGCAAAGAGTTGGAAGTTACAAAAATAAACACAACAGTGAGATTGGTAAAGATGATGAAATTGAGCAAGCGGCATATGAACATGAGAGAGGTATCATGAGACCATATTTATCAGAGGCATGGCTAATAAAGAGACCCGATTCACCACTTCTAAATTTAAGAATTCCAAGAGTCATTGCAGCAGCTGATATGAAGAAACACTTAAAATCCTGGGCCAAAACTGTTGCATCAGAAGTTCAGCAAGCATATTAACAATAGTTCACTTCACTGAACAACCGCTGCTGAGAGGGAAAAATCAACAACCCAATCTTGAGAATAGATTGACCACTGTAAAAAAAACAATTATATATGTTGAATGAATGCATAAATAAACCAAGGTTTTCCGAAAGTTCTTTAGTACTCACAGTTTCTTGTTTCTAGTATAAGGTAATAAAGTTTATCATAAATTTGTCAAGTGTGGGAATTCTTCATTCTTGAAAGGACAAAGCCAAAGAAACAATGCAACCAATGAACAAGTGGCGGGTGTGAAACAGTTGTTGGCCTTTGCCTCTTATGATTATTTAATTTTTCTATATACTGGCGTATATATGGAGAGAGGTAATTGCATTGTGCATGGATCATGTGTAGTATATTATTTTCGTTTGTTCTAAACTATGATTGTGATCTCATTCATGTTCAAATGAATTATGGCCTCCATATTATTATTATTGCCCAACTTGTCTAGCTACCATTCATTCATCTTTCTCTTGTCTTACACTCTTTACTTTTCATGTTCTTCACAATTTTTTGTCGAAACAAATAAACAAGAAAATATGTGGTTAGTATTTATGATGTTACATATACATGCTTATCCTTTAAAATTTGGATCAAGAAAGTAAAATTTACAACTCTGATGTTAACATGGACATGATGTTAGTAACTTAAGCTCTTATCTGATCGATAGTCCTAGGGTCCCATGTGAAACAATTTAGAGTAATACGAAATCAAGACAGAAAACACACACAAATATCAATCGAGTAAAGAAAAAGAAATATATGTGCGATTTACCCTGGTTCACCCAATACTATCTCACCTCTCTCATTACAAAGAAAGTAATTTGCCCTATGATTTGCAATCACACTCGTACAAGAGAAAAAAATGTTTATATACTAGGTTTGAAAGACTAAAACCTAATATTAAAAGAATTCATATTCCTAAACTCAAACCCAATAATGAATTAATAACTTAAAGAAATCATTTAACGAATATTCATGGAAAAGGCCCAAATCGCCTACCGGCCTGGGGGCACTGCTCGCCCACTGATCGGGTAGCGGGACCCCTGAATGCATCTGTTTGGCCCCTAATTGTTGAAGTGGTCAACAACTCCAACATCGAAAATTAATTGAGGTGCATGTAAGCTGACCCGGACACCCTGGATCATCCAAAAAAAAAAAAAAAAACAACATGATGTTACCTTCTCGGCTTCATGTTCACATGAATTATGACCTTCATATCATTATTGCCCTCATAGGGTTTGTTTGGTACAGCTTATTTAATTTTTTTATTATTATAAATAAACTCAACCATATATGCTGGTACAAAATTCTGAGATCCTTTGTTTGGTAGAGGAATGAGGATAATGGGGATTTGAAGGCCACACAGCGTGCACTAAAATTTGTGTCGAGGGTCTTATTCTTGATTGTGAAATTGCTTGGTTGTGGGCCTAATGGGTCTTAAAGTCCCTAACATGTCACGTGTGGGAGAGAGGTTTATAAGGGTACAGCATGGAACCCATTGGTCCATTACTGTTTAGATTATCAACTGTCAGATGTTTTAACAGGCCGCATAAAGACTGGGCTTGTTTTATCAATTCGATGGGTGAATAAAATTTTAAAGTTTTTTATTACCCTCACATCATCAAACTGAATTGCTAAAATTGGGAGTATGCAAAAGAATTGGCCAGAACTGGAACTGACCCTCATAGGGTGAGCTTTGCTTTCGGTTTTGGTTCCACCTTGCAAGAACCGAGAACCAGAACCGGTCGGTTACCCAGGTAGGACCGGAGACTAAATTGTAATTTTTATAAACTATTAGAGGTGTACTGTAATTTTAAAAAAAATTATGTCATTTTTTAAAAAGTAGGGGGACTAATTGAAATTAACTCAGGTACCCGAAACCGGAACCAAAACCTATGTTTCAGGTTTCCGTTCCTAATTTCAAAGAACTTGAACCGGCTGGTTCTACTTTTGATTCCAAATCCAAGGAATCGGCCATTCCGGCTCCTTTGAATCCGGAAACACCACCACCACTATAGTCAATACCATGCTTCAATTAACAATTCACTAAACATGGAGACCAGTTTCATAGCTGCAACTTTTCACAGAATAAAAGATGAAGTCTAATTGGGTATGCAAACTTTGCCGTCGACACAACAAATGTAAAGGAAAATTAACTTATGAATGGTAGGGAGAGAGATTGATTCCTCTAGTTGTTTCCCTAGTATTAATTATGCCATCAATAATAAAATTCAAAAGTCTTTTCTAAGATCATAATCCACTCTATACATCAATCCATCATATAAGAATAATTATGAAATTAATATAGATATGCTTAAAAACAATATAAAATAAAAAATCTATTCCAAGATGGTCGAATAATCGAATAAAAACTCTTTAATCTTAAGTTCGATTTCCTATAAGCTTCCCTCTCTTTGACCAAAAACAAAAAGTCAAGGCTTATCCTCCTATAGAACATGGGTTGGGATGGCATCTTCTTTGCGGCTATAATAAAATGCAAATGGATTATGCGCACATTGACATCCACTTCACCACTCTTTTAATATCATTTCCACTGCATATTAATTTGACTTTAAAACTTCTTGCCACTTAATCTGATTGTACTTTTATTTTAATTAAAATCATATTATATATATATTCGGCCGCCACAACACCAAAACACTACGAGCTCAATGCTGGATGACCTGAGATTTACAGCCTCAAATTACGACTTTATAGTTGAATCACTAGTGGTTTTTTAATTTTATTTTTTATGTTCGTATAACTAATGAGTGTGTTTAATTCCATTAAGATTATCATTGAGGGCTGACATGGCACTCCATATTTAGAGGTCAGCATTTTTCTAAAGATTATGTTTTAACTAAACATGATAATATAAACTATAAATAAAATCCTTAATTTGTGTATAAATTTCTGAATTATTGGGTCGTCATAGATTTGTCAAGGACCGCTATGAAAAAGAATTTTATATATGAGAGAAATTAATGTATAAATTATATCAAGTTCTCATAAATTCTTCTTGTGAATTTGCTGTTAATATACATAGTACCACCTCAAAAGTAAAAAAAATTCAAATTAGTCGATTCTCTCTATGTTCTAATCCTAGACCTTAGAAAATTTATATATTATAACAAAAGAAATAGCAGACCAATTATTTTAATAAGTTAGGGTGTACTTGGTTCATTATTGATACTTATTATAATAACATTTAAAAAAAAAAAAGTAAAATCAGGTGGGTATTACGATGTAGGATTTAAAAATTAACAAAAATATTCTCTATGTTTGTTCATTTATTAAACCCCCCTATAATAAAATATTAAAAATTAACAAAAACACCCCCACCCACCTATTAAATACCGACAGTCGGCCACCACTGCCGAAGGGTGGTTGGAGTCCCCATATCGGCGCACAACCGGCTAGATCTGATCGGACGTGTGTCGATATGGCCTTTTCCGACCAGATCCAATGTGAATCTAGCTAGAAAATATCAGATCTATGGCTAGATCTGGCCATTGATGGTCAAATCTGGCTACATTTAGTCATCAATGACGGCCAAAGATGTGGCCGTCGTTAACGACTAGCTACGACCTAAGATCTGACCATCAACAGCTAGATCTTTTACATATATCTGACATTTTTCAGCCAGATCAATCGTGGATCTGGTAGGAAAAGACTAGATCAACACACTACCAGCCAGATCCAATCGGTAGTGTACCATTATACCAGATTCCAGCCAGCTTCCGGTGATGATGGCCTGAATTTGGTAAATGTGGGTTGCTGTGGTGTTTTTGTCAATTTCTTAAAAAAAAAAAAATTGGGAATGTTTAGTTAAATTAACAAATCTAGGGGGTTTAAAAGGAATTGAATAATATAGAATAATATTTTAAGAATAAGGGAATAAATGTGTATTTTGGATAGAATAGGGAATAGAATACTGAAAATTTGTGTATTCTATTCCAATTGTGTGAAGTGACATAGTCTTTAAGTCACTCTACATAAGCCAGTATCCTCTTGGTCACTTCACCTAATTAAATGCATTATCAATTTGAATTTTTAAGTCCAGATCTAGTAACAGTAAGCAGTTGACCAATCACTTCATTGAGATAATTAGAAACTATACGCAGCCCACCAATCGGATATGAATGAAATCCATGAATGCAGAAACCAACAACAGATTGGTTGTCTACTAATTATTTTTTCTCTTAATTCTTCAAATTATTGAACTGTATAGTCAAATTAGATTGCTTAAATATAAGAATAGTGGGATGATAATGTATCATTAGTTTATAAAATATTGATGGAGATCGGCTTCAAGTAGGGACACTCGCGTGGCGGAAGTGACCGAAAGTGGCGTAGTGGAAGCTACAAATTCATCTGGCACTTTAAAAGCACTTCCTATATAAGGCTTCGTGTGGTTCATACAAGAAGCCAAGAAGCAGCTTAGCTAATAACTTTAATTAAGAGATGGCCATTAATAGGTTTCATCATTTCTCAGTCCTCATCTTTCTGTTGTTACCGTTATTCTTGCAGTTTCATTCTGGTACTGTTCTTTTATCCCTGTAATTTTTGCTTTCATTTTTTCTTTTTAAGGGATTCGGGCAGTTGATAATACATTTGACAAAGTATGATAAGAACTTTTTGTCATCTATATATATATATATACATGGTGGCCCATTGGTTTTGTTTTGGTATTATCTATTGGTCGTAACTCAATGTTTGCTAGCTGAATAAGTTGCATGCATGTTCACGATATTTACAGTTAAAATTTTGTTGTTTTTTTTTTTTTATACAGGTAAGAGCGAGCTGCAGTATAATTACTATGCAGAAAGTTGTCCAAACGCTGAGGAAATCATCAAACAAGAAGTCATAAAGCTATACAAAATACATGGAAATACCGCTGTTTCCTGGGTTAGAAATCTCTTCCACGATTGCGTTGTAAAGGTACTGTGATCTTCGAATACCATACAATGTTCCTGTTCATTAAACGCATTGCTCAACCATAAGATGGCTAACCAAAATAATAGGTACATTTATAATAATGCAGTCATGCGATGCATCGCTCTTGTTGGAGACAGTGAATGGTATCGAATCAGAGCAGGCATCCGATAGGAGCTTTGGCATGAGAAATTTTAAGTATGTGAAGACAATCAAAGATGCTCTTGAACAAGAATGTCCCATTACAGTTTCTTGTGCAGATGTCGTCGCTCTTTCTGCAAGAGATGGGATTGTCATGGTACTGTGATCAAATCTCAAAAAAAAACCTTCAAAAAATCAATTAATTATAGTAAAGAATATATATATTGAAATGGATATATGT